GTCTATACCCACTCTTTCCCCTGGGAACCCGGTAGGCATGGGTTGTAAAGGCGCAATCGCTGTGGGTTGGGGGTTTTTAAAACCACTGCAAGTGGTACAGGTTCGGCAGAAATCCCGCACATCTAGGGTGAGCGAAGGCCACCAGTATCTTTTACTCGAGGCGTCTAACATCTTCTTTTCACCCACGTGACCGAGTTGCTCGTGTAACTCTTGCAGGACTGTTTGTACTAGTGATCCAGGAACCACCAGACGCTTAGGAGAGTGAACACCTTGGTACCATAAAATCTCATCCTCCAGAGAGAGTTTTGACCACTCTTGCCAAATCCGTCTAGCTGCCTTGCTGGCCTACGTTATCTCTTCTGATGAAGGCTTATGCGAGGGTGCCAAGAATTTCTCATATATCAGAGCTGTGTCAGGGTCAGTACTCTGCGTATTTCTCCAATGATGTCTGGTATGATCACTCAAAAATACGGTGTTCACCATAACGTCACCCGTTTCTACTGGAGTCGGTCTGCGGGATAGTGCATCCGCATTACCATTCCCTTTCCCTTTTCGGTATTGGACTGTAAAGTCGTACTGCTGCAGTTCTTCGTACCAAAGTGCAACTAAACGTTCGATCTCCTTCATTGTTTTTAACCTGATGGTCGGTTCTTACAATGAACTTCCTCGCTATCAGGTAATGTCTGAAGTGTCGAACCATTGAGTAGATAGCGAACAGCTCACGTTGCGTCGCACTTTTCTGTCTCATTTTTTTACTGAGTCTTGTACTTGCGTAGGCGATGACGTGTTCTCTGCTTTATATGTTCTTTTGTGAGAGTACACCACCCACAGCCGCGTCGCTCGCATCTGTATCCAGTATAAACGGTGGAGCGCTCGATTCGAAATTTGGCAATGCTAGGATCGGAGTGGAGCAGAGCATTCGCTTCAGTTCTTTAAACGCCTCACCGTGCTCTTTCTCCCATTTAAAATTCTTCTTCGCCTGCTTCTCAGTTAAGTTATGTAGCGGGCTGGCGATCTTAGCAAAGCCCTTTACGAAACGCCGGTAACAATTTGCTAGACCTAGGAAGCTGCGGAGCTCTGTCTGGTTGGTTGGTGTAGGCCATGTCCTCACTTGTTGTACACGGTCGTCGGTGACGGCTATTCCATTCGACGAGACTGTATGTCCCAGGAAGGTGACCGAGCGTTGTAGGAAACGGCACTTCTTCGGGTTCAGGGTTAGCCCTGCATCCCGTAGGTGGTCTAACACTAGTTTTAGGTTGGCGTTGTGCTCTATAATATCTCCACCAAAAACGAGAATATCGTCAAGATAGATAATGCAATGCTTTGGGAATAGACCGATCAGAGCTGTTTGCATGAGGCGTTGGAAGGTAGCCGCCGCATTGCAGAGTCCAGAGGGCATGGTTTGAAATTCATAAAGCCCGTTTGGTAAAATAAAAGCCGTTTTTTCCCATTCTACTTCTGCAACCTCCACTTGCCAATATCCTGACTTCAGATCTAAGGTGGAGAACCACTGGGATCCATGAAGTGAGTCAAGTGAGTCATTTATGTGGGGAAGGGGAAGGCATCCGTCTTGGTTACAGCATTCAACTTCCTATAATCGATGCATAACCGCAGACTGCCGTCGTTCTTCTTTACCAGCGCTATAGGAGAGGCCCATGGTGACTTGGATGGCTTTATGACCTCATCACGGAGCATCTCTTCAACCAAACGGTTTACTTCTTCCAGCAAAGGAGGTGGAATACGTCTGGGTGGTTGCCAAATGGGCCTTGCTTCACCAGTATCAATCTTATGCTTGACGATATTTGTTCGT